GCCCCTGCTGTGGTGGCTCCAGTGGCTGTGGAGGTTCCAGTGGCTGTGGCTCCTGCTGCTGTCGCCCCTGCTGCTGTGTCTCCACTTGCTGCCGCCCTTGCTGCTGCCGCCCCATTTGCTGCAGGACCACCTGCTGCCGTCCCAGCTGCTGTGGGTCTTGCTAATGCTGCCCAACATGCTGATAGGCTCTGTGCTGCTGGCCACCCCAGGTGCTGCTTGTCCAGCTTCTGAAGGACCTCCCACTACATCACCAAAAGCTGCCAGAACACCTGCTACAGAACCCAGTGCTCACGTGCTGGGTCTTCAGCTGCTTCCACCCCACTATTTCCAGAAAGCCTGCTGCTCCCCAAACTAGCTGTTCCTGCTGCTAAGCACTCTGACCTCAGCTCTCCTCTTCTTGTTCAACCCATATTCTCTATGGATTCCATCTATGAGCCAATATATGATGGAACAAAGGACATCTCAATTCCAACTGATTATATGATAGAGTCTGGCCTCCAAATGTACTGCCTCTTCTCCACTGGCTTGTGTACCCTCCCACTCTCTCTCTCTCAACAATGTGAACAGTTGGAATTTTCTGTATCCTCCCTCTACTCTCACATTACCCCTTTGGATAGTATTGCTCTCTGACATGTTGTCTCATGTGGAGCTAGACCTGCATCTTCAATAAATATACATTTTACTGCATACACACATAATGGCATCGTGTCTCTTTGTCTTTCCCTTTAGAGTTGCTGGGCTACTCTGCCATTTTGTTGTTGTCATTGTTTGTCATCTGTAAAGATTTACAAACCATAACAGACCATCTGGGATGCTCCACCTCTGTTCTGTGAGCATTTAATTTAATCAATCTAATAACTGATGATGGTTTGGAAAGGAAGCACCTGGACCGACCTGCCAGAGGACGTTCTCTGGATGGAAAGTTAGCTCTGGGCAGGAGGGTTAAAGGGTCTAGGAACAGAGCTCAGCCAGAGAGCGGGAGATGGGGCACAGCTCCATTTCTCCTGGGCGATTCCTTCCAGTCCTCCCTGGGTCCTCTGTGGGACCACAACTCATAGGACCCCAGTGCTGTTCTGCTCATAGTCTATTGCCTTCTGTGGGGTGCCACTCTGAATGGCCCACGCCTTCCATCCTGAAACGAGAGGCTCTGACCCATCACTACATTTCTTAGTGACTTAGGTGTTGTCCCCGTTCAGGAAGCTGAGGGCATGTCTTCAGGTGTAGGTGTGTCAACCATGGGGTGGAGCTACACTCACTATTCCTTTGTAATACTACCCCTTTGCTCTGTTTGGAATAGAATGTTCCATGGAAATGCCCTTTGTGTGTCCCCTTCTCTTGCTCTGCCTTTGGGTGTGGCCTTCCTCCATGTCCATGAACCTGCTGACAGCACACATCATGAAACTACACTCAACCCCCTGAAACTTGACCCCTTGCCTCATTTGAATGGCTTCTCCCCAATAAAAAGGTTCAGCATTGGCTCTCTCGCTCTCTCTTTCTGCAGATCCTTAAGGTCGGAGGAGCCATCACAGGACCCAAAGAAAAAGCTATCTCTGTCTCTTGTGTGATTATTTTGTGCCACCCCAGTTCACCTGAAGTGACCCTGAGGGTTTTAGTCATGAGGAACGCCTCAGCCTCTGTACTGCCCTGAATCCACTTCCACATTCCCAACAGTGCTTCCTCTTTCCAGGGTCAGGGCTACTCTGAGGGTGGAGCTGCTCTGCTGGGGTGCTGGGTGGGGCTGCAAACGACTAGTTCTAAGTCCTCTTTATCTGGGTATATTTTGAAGGGCATCCAGATTAGGACCCCTATACTCCCATTCTCAGTGTGAGTATCTTCAACAGTTTCTCAAACAATAAGGATGCTCTCTCTATTGTCAGGGTCAACTCTTAGTTTGACTGTTTACCAACCTAATTAACCACCTGACAAATTGTTATTTCTTACCAATTTTTTCATAATTTCCTTTAAGATAACACTGGATAGATCACTACATCACTGGACCTGAGGCAAGAATACCTGATTGGCAACTCTTATCCTTAATGGCTTTCACCCTTGGCTCTGAGTGATGGGCCCTGGGGCTTGCTGGCTATTGAATGGAGGTCGTCCTCAGCTCTTTCCCTGATGCATCCCTGTCACCCTGCAGCTGAATTTGTCTAAGCTAGTGACAGAAGGAGATCCTGTAAAATAAGGTTAGTCACCTACAGGAAAGTCTGAGTCTTTGTAACTTAAGTGCTGAATGTTGCCATATGCTGTTGGTTAGAAGGAAGTTCTCAAAAATGAGGCAATTGCATAAAATACTTCATTATTCCCCTTATATTAATGGAATGAAATAAGTGAGGCAAAGCATTTACAAAAAAGCAGGTTTATGTTTCTCTGCATTCTGGGGGTTCCAGTCATGACCAAGGGGTACCCTTTCCATAGGTATTTGCTGAATACACTGTTAGGAAAAGTTTGTCTTAGAGCAAACTGCACCCATCACCACATAGAAATAAAAAGAAAGAAAGGACTGGGGCCCCACATTCCCTTTGGAGGGCATGCTTCCAATGGCTAATGGCTTCCCAGGAAACCTCAGTTTTTCAAGGTGCACAGCGTCTCCCAATTCAGTGAGTCTGGAAGACCTTCTTGTCCAAACATGGGAGGTACTGTCCATATTCAAGGCACAGGAACCATGAACACCAGGAAGTATAAAAAATCGGGGCCACTCACAGGCTGGTATTCCCAGCTGGACCAGGGTATTGAGCCAAAGAATAGAAACAGAAAAGAGATCTACTGTGATTCTCTTTATATAAAATTCAAAGGTGTGCATAACTAAACCGTACAGTTTAGAAATGTCTATGTTGGTGGGTAAAGTATGAAGAAAAGCAACGATAAGACTACTTTAAAAATCAGGATAGTGATTCTCAATAGTGAAGTAGGGAGATGGGGTCCAGAAAAGACATACAAGAGTCCTTGATAATGCCAACATTCTCTTCCAAGGACTTGAGCTTTGGATATGTAGATACTTGCCTGCTAATTATTTATAACCATATATATATATATATATATATATATATATATATATATATATCACATTTCACAATAAATGTGTTTTCCATTTTAAAATAAAAGTTTTTTTTTAATCATTTTGTTACAGTTTTCTCTGGTACTGGGCATATTATCCAGGGATACTTTACCACTGCACTAAACCTCAAGCTTTTATTACTTTTGTTTTGACAGAGGGTCTCACTAAGCTGTCTAGGCTGAACTCCCACTTTGGATGCTCTTTCCTTAGCCTTCTCAGTGTCTAGAATTGCAGGCATGTGCCCTTGGGCCCAATAAAAAAGCTGAACTGAAATATTCCTTCAAAAATTAATAAAACAATTTTTAATAAAAAAATGAATAAAGATATTTCAAGGACAAATAGAAAGCCAGTCAATGCTAGGTTAACATTTTTATACTGCTCTGATTACATGTGCCATTTGATATCAAATCTGGTAATGTGGCTTAATACATATTCTGAATTATTCGAAAGCAAATGAATGTTCATTGTAAAGTAACATAATTAAGTTAAAAGTACCTTAATATTCCTATCAATCTTCATGGGAATTGTCAGTGTTTCCATTTAGAGCATGGTTATGGGTTGAAAATAAATGGAAGAGCTGTCTCCCTATAGCTCCAATGTTTGGGTAGAGCTGAAATCATTGGAGAGTGAGGACTCTATCCTACAGAGGCCATCCAAGTTTGAAAAGACAGAGTGATAACCATAGGCAGCTGGAGCATGGCTGGAGGAGGTGGGTCACTGGGAGGGGGTCCTGGAAGTTGCCTCTTCCCTGTGGCCCCTTCCCTCTCTTTGATTTCTGACTGCGATTAATGGAGCAGAATAAGGCATCTTCACAATGCCCTTCTGCCATGCTGTTCTGCCTTATCTAGGGCCCCAAAAGTCCAAGCTATGGCGTTCATCCAGCATGAACTGGACCTCTGATGTCATGAGCCAAAATGAATCACTCCTCCATTAAATTATTCTTGTCATGTATTTTGGTCACACTGGTGAAAGGCTTAGTAACAAAACTAGGATGTTATTATTTTAACACATTGTGATTCAAGAAGCATGGTACATTGCAAATATGGACACAATATGTAGTAAGTATTTATTTTAAACTGTTGTGCATTAACCATACAACTAACCCGAGAAAAGAAAAATCTGTTTTACATGCCATTCTCTAAAGGATATCCTAGCGTAATGTGTCCAGACTGCTCACAGACATAACCTAATTACTGGGTGGAGCTTGCAAATGTCAATTCTGTACACCTCATCAAATTTCTATGATGTTGAGTTATCTGGATTATTTTATATTGTGGCATTTGAAAAAAGACAAAGAAAACTGTTTAGAGGGAAGATATTACACTCTGTTTACGACTCCATGTCATAAAAGACATGGAGTTTGTATAGACCCTAGGTAATCTGTGAATATGATCCAGATATTAATTGTGCACTAAATTTCCCCTGACCACAGGTAGAGTTCAGTGCAGGGAGCTGTCTACAGTGATTCCCCTTTGTGCTCTGTGCCCTTGTGGTCCAAGCTCATTCAGGTGAAATCTGTTGGTTTGGCATAAGAATGATCTAAAACACTAAAGAGGAATATGCGATTTTTAAGTCTCCATTGCTCAAACTTTAGGGTTTCAATGTCAGGATGAGTAATTCTGTTATTTAGATGCCATCAGTTAAAATTTATTGATTTGGGGGACTTCAGTACTTAACTGAAATTGACACAAATGGGGGAAAATTTAATGAGGAGGGTCTCAGCTTTGCATCCTCCCAGGATAAACTGAGGAACATGAAGAACTTGTGTTGCCCAGACCCTTCAATCACACTTGTTCTGGAGAGGAGCTGGGCATTGGCAGTTTTTAACACTCCCCAGGTCATTCCATTTGTGGCCAACATGAGAACCACTGGTGTCAGGGCTATCATATTCAGGGGCCATGATGGTAATATATTCTGGCTTTTGAGATGTGGAAACAGTATTGCAAACTTCCTAAATTTATTCAAAAATATTTCTTATAGGAATCAATAAGCCAAAATTCTATTTCTTCTTTTTGACCTCTTTCTTATACATGAAATCTAGTGAAATATCACCATGCTCAGAAAGTATATTTATTTACCTATGTCATATTCTCCAGTTTTACCAACAAATGCCTTAAAAATAAGAACCAGTAAAACAGATGCTTGCCATCCAGGTTAATTAATGATGGAGTTACTCAGGGACTTATTCTTTAAAGGAAAGATAAAGACATAGTGAAGATACATCAGAATAAAATCACAGAGATACCCATTAATCTCTGCACACCTATTTCTTGGCAGAGGACCAACTAATAGGTAATAGCATTGCTCACTTTTCAGAAAAACAGTCACCTGGCCATTAGCAATGACAGTTTTTCACCCTTTAAGCTTTGACTTCATCCTTACTAGGAATATGTGCCAGCTGATACCCATGGAGATATCTGTTTTCTTTTTATGATTTCACATTGTTGGTTTGAAAATTACACCAAATCACTAAAATCCAATACAGGACCTCAATGATGAAAAGTGAGAGTACAGTTCATCTCCTGAGTTCAGTGACACCAGGTTACAAAAAAGTGCCAGGATATGAGTTATATGAGGGGCAGATTCCCTCAAGGTTCATATGTGGATGGACAAGGGTGTTCAGGAAACACAAGACATGAGTCAATATGGCCTGACCCAACCACAAAGACAGGAAGCCAGAAGCAGAAGGAAACAATTCTCAAGCAGGTGGAGTGTGGAGGGATCTGAACCTCCTGGTGGTACAGATCTCTGCAGCCACATCTCCTCATAGCACACCCTAAAAAAACACAGTGGCAATATGTTGCTGGGGAAATCAAATCATCCAAGGTTCACTATGTGTGTTTGCACTCACTAAAGGTCTGTGTCTCCCGTGAAGAGCTCCACAGCAGAGGGAATGCTTCAGCGGGGAATGGGGAAGTGTGTTAATGCCCTTCCTGCTCTCAAGCCAAGGGTCTCTGTTGCACTTTCAAACCTTCTTTGCCCAACAGATACATAATGAAGGAGCCAGGAGATGAAAATACAGCTTTTTACCTGTGGTCCCCAGAAAGAAATAAGGGACACAGAAGTGGATCTTTACCAAGGGCAGACATGACTTACTGCCCACACTGCCTCTGAAGCCCACCAGACAGAGGCACAATGTCACATGTCACCCTCTCTGTGAGGAAGGAGAGCTAAAAAGACCCTTGAGAGATGACTCAGGAAGACCTGACCAATGA